AAAACAAACTGTCACTTCACAAGAACCTCAGTGTTTACTGTTCAGTAGGACAATAGATTTCCAGTTTGGTAGAGTGAGGGGTAACTTTAGGTGTCATCTATGTATTACAACTGTCACTACACAAGGACCTCAGTGTTTACTGTTCAGTAGGACAATAGATTTCCAGTTTGGTAGAGTGAGGGGTAACTTTAGGTGTCATCTATGTGTTATAACTGTCACTTCATAAGGACCTCAGTGTTTACTGTTCAGTATGACAACAGATTTCCAGTTTAGAAGAGTGAGGGGTAACTTTAGGTGTCATCTATATGTTAAAACAAACTGTCACTTCACAAGAACCTCAGTGTTTATTGTTCAGTAGGACAATATATTTCCAGTTTAGAAGAGTGAGGGGTAACTAGGTGTCATCTGTGTGTCCTAACTGTCACTACACCTTCTTTCTCAGACCTATTGTAATACTTATCATTTTTAATTTACAGAAACCATACAATCCAACCAGCATGAAGTCGAATGAAACAGAGGTTCTCACCTTCCTGTTTGTTTCAACATGTCTAACATCTTTGCCTGGAACACAGGGTCTACAGCTTCCACACTCACTCCCTAAAATAAAATAAAAACACTTAACACCTGTATGTGTATGTTAACATCTCAATTATGCTACAAATAAAGGTCAAGATCACTACACTTCCACATTCTACAAACATAAATTTTAACAGGTCAAAAATATAACATACATTAAAAAAGAAAACGTTAGCTAAACACAGTAAATAAATTCTAGGTATACTACTTATGCTGAAAGTGTTTAAAACAGAAGTCTTTACATTAAGCAGATACCGGGCTTTGTATATACTGTTTCTTCAACGGGCTATAATGCTAAGCTGTTTTCCTTCTTTAGTACTACTTTCTGGCATGACAATTATGTTTACGTAAGGTGGTGATATCCTTTATACCAGTGTAAGGTGGTGATATCCTTTATACCAGTGTAAGGTGGTGATATCCCGTGTACCATTGTAAGGTGGTGATATCCCGTGTACCATTGTAAGGTGGTGATATCCCGTGTACCATTGTAAGGTGGTGATATCCCGTGTACCAGTGTAAGGTGGTGATATCCCGTGTACCAGTGCAAGGTGGTGATATCCTGTGTAAGGTGGTGATATCCCGTGTACCAGTGTAAGGTGGTGATATCCTGTGTACCAGTGTAAGGTGGTGATATCCCGTGTACCAGTGTAAGGTGGTGATATCCCGTGTACCAGTGTAAGGTGGTGATATCCCGTGTACCAGTGCAAGGTGGTGATATCCTGTGTAAGGTGGTGATATCCTGTGTACCAGTGTAAGATGGTGATATTCTTTGTACCTATGTAAGATGATAATATCCTGGGTACCAGTGTAAGATGGCAATATTCGTCGTACCAATGTAAGGTGGTGATATCCCTTATACCAATGTAAGGTGGTGATATCCCTTATACCAATGTAAGGTGGTGATATTCTTCGTACCAATGTAAGGTGGTGATATCCCTTATACTAATGTAAGGTGGTGATATCCCTTATACTAATGTAAGGTGGTGATATCCCTTATACCAATGTAAGGTGGTGATATCCCTTATACCAATGTAAGGTGGTGATATCCCTTATACCAATGTAAGGTGGTGATATCCCTTATACAAATGCAAGGTGGTGATATCCCTTATACCAATGAAAGGTGGTGATATCCCTTATACCAATGTAAGGTGGTGATATCCCTTATACCAATGTAAGGTGGTGATATGCCTTATACCAATGTAAGGTGGTGATATCCCTTATACCAATGTAAGGTGGTGATATCCTTTATACCAATGTAAGGTGGTGATATCCTTTATATCAATATGCAGAAAAAACAAATAGTAGAACTTTTTCTGAATTCTAAAATATCATGCTGAGAAGGAAAAGAAGAATCAAATAAACTATGGTTCTATCTTAACATTCAAAGCTGCCCAACATTCAGAAATAAGGGACTCAGTCCAACACTACAACAAAATGATAGTTTAAAATACAGAAATATAACTGCAAGAGAGACTCAGTCCAACGCTACAACAATATGATAGTTTAATATACAGAAATACAACAGCAAGAGAGACTCAGTCCAACACTACAACAACATGATAGTTTAAAATACAGAAATATAACAGCAAGAGAGACTCAGTCCAACACTACAACATAACGATAAAGTACAGAGATAAAACTGGAAGAAAGACTTAGTCCAACACTACAACATAACGATAAAGTACAGAGATAAAACTGGAAGAAAGACTTAGTCCAACACTGCAACATAGATACAGTCTATAGAATAAACAAATACCTTTAATTAAAACATGCACACAAATTAGAATAAGACACAATATACTTCAATAGCCCAAAATCTAGATGTATTTTCTCACCGTTCCAGACTGAGGCATGGCAAAAACATCAATAACCTGCACTGTATAATCATCAACAAATTCTCCCAGCATAAGCCCCATAACCTCCATGGGAACACCAGCTCGTCCGTGCTTCAGCATCTGCAAGATATCAGATGAAAAATGTATCATTAATAATTACTTGATTAGACCCACATATACCTTTCCCAGACAACTCGAGAAATTTAACTGACCAATTACTCTTCGAGGTACAGCCTACTGTTTATTTCAACAATAAAAGTTCATTGTCATCAATAACCACACTTTTGTAAGCATTTTTATTGTTGGGCAGTTTCTTTTGGATCATTTTCTATAGAATGGAAAGTCCAGTTCTCTTAATGCTATTTCTTGGACTATGAGATTTAAATGTTAGCTTAGCTAACATTTGCTAGTAGGTCTAAGGTAAATTTTCAATAACACAACAATTTCACTTCCTTGCTAACTACACCCTTTGTTCTCCTGAAGAAGAATAGTTAACTATTCGAAAGCGCTCAAGTTTTGAGTCTTATTTTAAGTCTATTACACTTTATATGTGATCCTTTGTGCTAACTCTTTTATCAAAAGCTTTCTCATGTCTATATTTCTTCATATAAACCCAAACTCAATATTGACCAAGCTGAACAAAGTAACTAACTGGCTGAATGATAAATGAATTTGCAGCCACACTAACTCAATAATAAATCAGTCTACTCTAGTCTATACTATACTTTTATACTACTAAAATCATTTCCTAAATGAAGGTGCTAGTCATTAAGCCGTGGAAAATCAAACTAGATCAAAATTCCCTCCGGCTAAGTAACAACACACCTAAATTAAAAAAAAAACAACATAGACTACAACATTATAAGTACTGCATTTTTTATCATACATTTTACCAAAATTGAACATTTTTTGTTCAAGGAATTTTCTTCACACAACTCTGAAAGACTGTGTGTATGAAGGCCAGACTAACCAGACATGATTAATTAATTACATGTCACTGGTTTGATAGATCATCTTTGAATACATAAATCAATCATATAGCACTCTCATTTTACTGATAGTTGCGTGACTGAGGTCACTGCTTCCACAGTCTCAGCTATTGTTTACAGGGTCAAGCCAATTTGTAGTGTATCCTTTATACATTTACTTAACACCTGCCTCAAACATAAATGTGGTTGATATCATATATTAATGGTTTCTAAGCTTTTTCAGCTCATGGCACACTTTTAATGTCAAACTTTTTGTGGCACACCTAAATAAGTCCATATGGCAGGCCTAGTGGCACCCCCCTGACTAAGACAGGTAGAAATTACTGTTATACTATGTGTCAAGGAGAAAATAAATCATGTGTTAGGACACCATCTCATTCTTTCAAACCAAGATTTCAAGGAGGTAGGTTGTGTCATATTTTTTAGACCAAAATACAGCTTAGTTACTAAGCTTGGTAAATTATGGTGGAATTCTATGGTATTGATATAGTAATTTATGATTTTTTTGGTTATTAAACTATATATATAACCTAAAAAAAAACATTTTGTTTCATATCCTCCCAGTGAGAAA